GGCAAAGGAAGGATGGAAAAATTCATCCCAGAGCATCCGTGTGGGATTCCCAAGGTTTGGGAATGGCCGAGTTCAGTAATGTGGGAAATCGGATGGTGGCTAAACAACAGTGATGGGATCATTAATTAATTAATCAAGCTGTTGCTTATTAAGTGATTAATTAATCCCTCAGCAGGGGGATTGATTATCCAGGAAGAATCATGGAATTCTCGCCGGCGATCCAACGGGAATATCAGATCCGGGAGAGTCTTGGGAACAACTCACACCTTTGGAAAACTTCCAAGGAAAACCAAAAGCCGAGAGACGTTGGTTGATTCTCTTGGAATTATTTATTTGTGGGATGATTGGAAGGCAGCTTGTCCATGGATTTATCCATTAAAAAAACCCCAAAAATGATATTCCAGGGAAAAACAGTCTGGAATATCTGACAGAACCCACCAGGAGAGCACCAAGAGGGATGGGAATGGTTGGAAGGGATAAATCCGAGTTTCCCTCCTCGGAAAAACACGGAATAGGAACAAATAAAATTAAATAAAATAAATAAATTAAATATTAATGAAATTAAATTGAATATTCATCACCAAACACAGGGAGGGCGGAGCCGAATCCCAGCTTCCAAATCCGGATCCCGGGAAAAGGCAAAGCCAGGGAAAAGGAGATTTTCTGGCTGAAACTACCAGTGGAAAATTTAATTAGTTATTCGAATTAATTATTCAAATTAATTATTCAGATTAATCAAAGCAATTCTAATTATCCGGAGTAAGGCAGTAAAAAAAAATGGATTTTGAGTCCTGTCTGATCATTCCTGATCCCTTTTTTTAGGATGGATGGAAAATCCATCTGGAATTCTTTCCAGAGAAAAGGCAGGAAGGTGAAAATGGAAGGAGAAACGGAAAACTTCCCAGTTTTGGGGGTTTTTTTTGCTTTGGAGTCCTTCCTTTTGGAATATTTTTATTCCCAAAGGTTGATGTCCAGGTGTGGAACACAATCCTTCCTCGTTTTCCCGTGGGTCTCTTGGCTTCCCTCATGCAATTCCATGCATCCCTGTGGTCGTGGAACTTGGGGAATTTCGGGAACGGGGACGCAAATCCTCGGGAATAAAAGCCATCCCGTCAAATCCCACGCGGAAAATTCCACCAGGATCGATTCCATTGCTTCTCTTGGGAATTTCCATCGGGTTGGAGGCCAGGGAGCTCCACGTGGATCAGCTTGGAGCTGATTCCCATCATCGGAACAATTGGATTCAATCTTGGGAATGCCCTTCCTGGGAATCACCTCTGCATTCCCAGATCTCCCACGTTGGAGGACTCGGATAATTCCCACAAAAATCCAACAGCGGTCGGTTTGCTCCTTCCAGATTCCGTTTTCCTGCGCAATTCCCAGCCCTCCCTCCGTTCCTGACATTCCATGGGATGTGGAAACTCGGGAATATCCCGGGATCGGTCACGGGGAGAGGTGGGGCCGGAACGTGCGGGGCCGGATCATCATGACCACCTTCCGTAGGGAATAATAGTCCGTGTCCTTCCAGGAATACCAGACGATCCCATCCGGGCCCAACATCTTCCGGTTTTTTATGGAATATCGGCCGCCCTGGGAAGCAGAAAAAAAAAAAAAAAAAAAAAGGCTCAGGAGAGGACTTGGAATCATCCTCGGGATGGGATCATTGGAAAAAAAACCGATTCATTGGGAATAGGGGAGCGGAGAATTTCAGGATAATGCAGAGAGGGGGGGAAAAAAAGGCCCAGAAATCCCAGAATTTTTCCAATGGTTCCTCTGGAGCCGCGTTGGGATTTCAGGCGCTGAGTCGCCCATTCCAGAGTTTTCCATGGCATTCCATGAGGGGTGTCTGGAAAAGCTGGATCACTCCGGAGAAGTTGGTCAAGCCAGGCAGGAATCAGGAATGATCTCCCAGGGAATGAGGGATGGGATGAGGGGAGGTTTGTGGGATATCAGGAATAATTTCGGCCTGGAAAATCCATCCATGGCACAGTGGAGGATGAATCCCCATTCCTGGATGGATACAAATCCGTGAGGATTTGCCAGAGAATGAGGGATGGGATGAGGGGAGGTTTGTGGGATATCGGGAATAATTCCAGCCTGGAAAATCCATCCAGCCTCCCACGGTGGTGGATGAATCCCCATTCCTGGATGGATTCAAATCCATGAGGATCCATGAGGGAATGAGGGATGGGATGAGGAGAATTTTTTGGAATACCGAGAATAATTCCAGCCTGGAAAATCCATCCAGCCTCCCACAGTGGTGGAAGAATCCCCATTCCTGGATGGATTCAAATCCTTGAGGATTTGGTGGAACACGGATTTGTGGCAGGACCAGAAATTCGAGGAACAGTTGGATTCAGCTTCGGAAAACTTTCCCAACCTCAACAATCCCACAATTCCGGGAGCAAAATCCTCGCTCCTCACATCCCACCAACCCCATCCCGCTTTTCCTTGAGTTCCATCCCTCTCATCTCCCCGGAAGAGCGGGGGGAAAAACAAGAAAAAAATTCCCAAAAAATCCCCCAAAAATTCCCAAAAAATTCCCAAAAAATTCCCCCAAAATTCCCAAAAAATAAAAAAAAAATCCCAAAAAAATTCCCCCAAAAAATCCCAAAAAATCCCAAAAAAATTCCCAAAAAATTCCCCAAAAAATTCCCCAAAAATTCCCCAAAAAATTCCCAAAACGGGCCGCCCATCCCACCTTGTAGTAGACGCCGTTGAGGTTGGAGAAGAAGCACTGGTGGTACCACCAGCCCCCGTGGGAAATCTCGGCGCAGATATTCCCGGAATCCGGAGTGCTGAAGCTCCTCTTGTCGTGGTACCAGGCGAAGGAATCCTCCACGGTGCCGCTGAAGCCGTCCACGTGCAGCCGGTAAAAATTCTCCTCGTCCTCGATGCTGCAGAGGGGGACGTTGGGAAGGATGGATTAGGGAAAACTTTAGAAATACGAGTGCCCAGCAAAAGACTTTGGGAATATGGAAAATGAAATAGAAATGAGAGCAATTTTCGACTGTGTGGCTGAAAGCAACTGAATGCCTGAAGGCTCCTTGGTTTAGATAATGTTAAATGCTGCAAATACCAAAAAATCAAACAGACATCCTCCCTAGGCAGGGCAGGAAGGGTCCCAGAGGAAATTTAGAGAGAAGAAAAGCAGTAAAACATGGTAATATAGTGATTCCTATAGGATGCATGCAAACGTTAAAGAGTTTGTATCTTGTATTAGATTGGTTAGTGGAAATTAGAATATTCAACATAGAAAAAAGATTTATTGTATTGTAAACGGGAAAATTGCTCTCTTTTTCTCTCTCTCTCCCTCTTTCTCCCTCCTTCTCTCCCTCTTTTTCTCCCTCCTTCTCTCCCTCTTTCTCTCCCTTTCTCTCCCTCTTTTTCTCCCTCTTTCTCTCCCTCCTTCTCCTTTTCTCTCCCTCTTTTTCTCCCTCTTTCTCCCTTTCTCTCCCTCCTTCTCTCCCTCTTTTTCTCCCTCCTTCTCCCTCCTTCTCCCTCTTTCTCTCCATCCTGCTCTGATCTGTGGCTGCAGTTCCCGGCAGGGTCTCACATTTACCCACACCCTACAAAACAAACTGCAAACTTCAACACCAGAACACAGAGAGTGCCTGAGTTTGTCCCGACCGTCCCAAGGCAGCGATTCCTACGGGGGGGGGAGGAATTAAAAAAAAAATGGGAATGTTCTCCTCGGGATTGCGGGAATTTTGTTGGGGGTTTGTCCTTTCCTCCCTGCTGGGATTTGTCACCGCGGCTGAGGAGGGTTTTTATTTTTTTTCCTGTCTGTGGGGTGGGTGAGGTCGGGAATTTGGGAATTTCAGGGTGGGAAGCCACGACAAAGGAATGTGGGAGCCTCGGGAAAATCCTTTTGATTATCCCGAGTTCTGCTCCTGGAGATGGGAATTAGTGGAGTTGTGGAATTATGGGATGGTTTGGCTGGGAAGGGACCTTAAAGATCATCCTGTTCCAACCAGGGTGCTCCTGGGATATGGGATAATGGGATAGGATAATGGGATGGGATGATGGGATAATGGGATAATGGGATAATGGGATGGGATTGAAGGTCCCTTCCTACCCAAACCATTCCGGGATCCACTGGACTTTCTGGGATGGCTCCAGGCTGGGATTCCCAGAGGACAAATCCCTTGGGATGCAGCTCCAAGGAAAACCCCAAGCTCCAGGGAATGCTGGGAGCCTTTTCCAGAGGTTTCCAGGAGAGCTGGGATTTGGGAAAGGGCTGGAGGGCCAGGAGCCAGGGAATGGCTTCCAGTGGGAAAGGGGAGCTTGGGGTGGGATCTTGGGAAGGAATTCGTGGCTGGGCTGGAATTCCCAGAGAATCCCTGGATCCCTGGCAGTGTCCAAGGCCAGGCTGGAGCACCCTGGGATTTTGGGAGGTGTCCCTGGAAGAGGATGGGGTGTGAGGCCCCTTCCCACCCAGATCATTCCATGATTCCATAGGAAGTCTCCATGTCGTGCCACAGCTCCTGGAAAATTGATCCCACCTCTCCCGTGGCTCCCAACGGATTATCCCAGATTTTC